TATATATATATATATATATATATATAATGAGTAGTATTTTTTTAAAATTTAATCGACTACAGGGTTATAAAGATTTATAATTAATTTAAAAAATAGAAATTTTTTTTATTAAATTATATTTAAAAGATATTTTAATATAAATAATGGGATTTAAATCTCGCTTCAACCGTTAAAAACCAACAAATGCATGATAAGGATTGTCAAAACGATTATTTGTTTGCGAACATCTCGTGTTCGGCTTGCTATGCAAACGAGCGGAACACGAACACATTTTTTATGTTCGAAATATAAACGAGTCAAACACAAATAATAGTATTTTTTTATCGAGCAGAACATACTCATTTACACCCCTAATTATGAACTATTTTTTTAGCTCAATTAATCTCAATTGAATTTTGAATTGATTGCATTTCTAAAATGCTGCAGAGCAATTTCATGTCAGTGGACGAGGTGGATGAAGCGGTGAACATTACAAATATAGAAGGAGAGATCCCTAATGATTTTCCTGATGGAGTTTATATCAGAAATGGTCAGTCAAATTTTTCTGTCCGGTCACCGCATGTGCGGACGACGGATTAGAAGCAGCGGTGATTAGAAGGTCCGGTCACCGCTGTATCTCGTCCGTTGTTCGCACATACGGTGACCGAACAGGAAAAACGCTCGTAATCACAATGGATAGCAATTGCCTATGTTATTTGATCACAATACTTTAATTATATAATAATTAAAATGATAACTTTCTTTTTGAAAATAAAACTGATATTTTCATACATATTACTGAATTTTTATCTTTTTGATATCTGACATTAAATTTTTTTTTTATTTTAATAGCATTTTAGTTTCTTAATTATATTAAAATTTATAACTGAAAATTATATTTTTTTTAATTTAGATTAATTAATGTTAAATTAATAATGGTATTTTTTTTAAAGGGTGAGTTCGTGGTATGTTTAGGGGTTGTTTAGTTGTAAGTAGGGTCTAGTTTGAATAAGCTTTAGTAAATCTTGTAAATCTGAATTTTATACAATTTTGAAGGGATTAAATATTGAAAACTATTTGATATGTTAATAAGTAGATTTTAATAAATTCGAAGAAATTGTTTGATAGCTTTAATTGAAATTTCTTTGATAGCTTTAATTGAATTTACTAATTTTTTTTCTTCCACACGCTTGAGGTTCTCTAAATTTCATAAATCTGACTTCTTGCGGGATTTGATAAATCTCAGATTTAAGGCAAAATGGAGGAAAAAACGGGATTTAAAACCTATAAGATTTACCCATGCCTTTTTTTTATCATTTGATAGGATTTAGCATAACTTCTAATTCTGCTTAAAACAGACTGCCAAAGTGTGGCTTAGGGCCCGTTTGGGGCAGCTTATAAGTGCAGACGACGTTTTGAAAACGCCGCCTCACTCTTTGGTTCTCACTTATTGAGATATTATTGCAAACTGCGTTTTGAAAATTATAAAAGACGCGGACCGCGGACTGACCCCCGCGATCTGCATTTGTTATCTAAAGATTAGGGTATTATATAAGTAAATTTAATATAGATATACAATATTGTCATATACAATTAAATTCTGGTGCCATGTACCCCGACCTATTGGTTGACATTCTTGGTGTAAAATCCCTCATGTCCGGAGTTCAAATCTCTCTTTGATGATGTGAGCCTCGAAAAGAATTGTGCTTTATATATATATATAGAGAGAGAGAGAGAGAGAGAGAGAGAGAGAGAGAGAGAGAGAGAGAGAGAGAGAGAGAGAGAGAGAGGGGTGGGTGGTAAATTTATAAAATAAAAAAAATCTTTTTTTGAAAATATATATTTTAATGCTAGCAGGATCTAACCCGCTGTTCGGCACGCTTCAGTCTTCCTCCTCCCTGCTCGGCCGATCCAGTGAGACATGGGTGGAAGGCGAGGGCATGCTCCATGCCCTCTCCTTCTCCCGGGCTACCGCCGGCGGCTGGGTGGTGTCCTACAAAAACCGCTTTGTTGAATCAATATCTTTCCAACTCGAGCGCCGCCGCAACCATCCTGCCTTCCTTCCAGTCATCGAAGGTGACGCTCCCGCCATCCTCGCTTCTTCCCTCCTCAACCAGGTTCCCCTTTTGCTCTCCCTCCATCATACTCGTTCGTTTCCTTAACCCTAACGAATCGCGCAACTTATTTCAGCTAAGGTTTGGGAAAGTGGCGAAGGATCTCAGCAACACTAATGTGTTCGAGATATCTGGGAAATTCTTCGCTATATCGGAGAACCACATGCCGGTGGAGATAGATTTATTAAGTCTCGAGACGACCGGCAATTGGGATCTCCGCGAAGCGTGGAATCGGCCGTTTATTGCTCATCCCAAGGTAATAGCTAGGGTTTCTGTCGGTTTCTGGTATTATTTTTTTTCCCGGGATTAGGAGAATTTGAACTTAGTGATATTGACCCAGAAAGCTCCAGGAGGAGAGCTTGTTTTCGTTGGGGCGGACGGGAGAAAACCATTCCTTGTTCTCGGCATTGTCTCAGGTTTCCTTTGCAATTTTTTGTTTTAAATTTTTATTGGAATTAATTATTTATTAATTTGCTGCGACTTTTTCATCTTGTGCGTGCTTGTTTTCAGCGGATGGAAAAGTGCTAAAACATAAGGTTGACCTCAAGCTTGAGAGAGGCATCATTTGCCATGATATTGGAGTAACTAGAAGGTGAGCTTTTTAATCTCTTTCTTTGCTATTTTCTTTCTGTTTCAATGAGCAGATATTTTTGTAAGGTAATTCATGTGGGAACCTCACAAAGTGAGACTTTTTTAAGTGGAGAATTTACATGCACACCACAATGTTGCTACGTATTTACATATCTAACAATCAGTGTTTGTTATTTGCATGTGTAACTCTTTAGTGTCATTATCGCTAACTTATACATGAAAAGATGTATTTTGCTTTAAAAAAAGCTAGTAATAATAGTTGGGGGCATTTACATACATATCACCTAATTCCTATGTATTTACATATCTTACTCCTAAACTACTCCTAAACTACTCCTAAACTTTACTTTTTACATTTTTACTACCCAATTTTTCAATTCACATAAAAAATAACCTCATTTTAGCTTCTAACATTTGAAATACAACTTTTCTTGCATAGGTAAGATGCATGTACCTAAAATTTGAAGTCTAGGTGTTGTAAAAACATGGGAAATGAGTGGCATGTATGTAAATCTTCCTAATAGTCTTTTCTGTGATTTTAAGAATTTCATTGTTTTAGATGTAAAAAATAAAATATTTGGCAAATACATGACAATTGTGTGGTATACATCTAATTTATCCTTTTTGATTTCAGATACAATATAATTCTGGACATGCCGCTGACGTTTGACTGGGCTAGGCTGTTGAAAGGCGGCCCGTAAGTGCCTAGTTTCAGAAATACTCTTTCCACCTATTTAAGTCAATGCATTTTTCACATCATTTCTATAAAATGCTTTGTAAATTAATATTCATAATACCAATTCAAAGTAGTTGTTATAACGCTAATGATGATTATGAATGATTGAAAGAAACATTGATCATTTAATCTATATTGTAGTAAGTGTTTCAGAATGCCATGCTTATTCAGAATTGTCTTCAAATGTATTTAAATATTTAGGTTGGTGAAATATGATAAAGAAAGTTATGCAAGAATTGGTGTGATGCCTCGCTATGGAGATTCTGATTCGATTAAATGGTTTGATGTCCAGCCGTTCTGTACCTTTCACATTGTAAACTGCTATGAGGATGGAGATGAGGTACAAAACAATGAAACATGAATCGGACCCTCCTTTGATTCATGAAAATGTTGTTTCTTTATCATGTACTGATAGCATTCCTTGCCTTCTCAAACATATTCGATATTTTCATGTTATCTCTATTTATAGGAGTTAATATTTAAAGCCTAGATCAAGTAATCATTTTTTCCTCATTCTGATTCATATATATATATATATATATATATAAAAGATTGGCCAAAGACTATTATACGAGCCGCCTGACCAACCTCATGTGCCTAAGAATTTCATCCCGTACATAGGCGGGATCGAACCTGTGACTCCATGGGTCTTAAAACTATGTCGAACAAAAAATCACGGTAGGCGGCACACACACACATGATTATTATTTATTTGCAATACTTTAATGTTTGCTATTATAACTCTCTATTTTTTAACAACAAACATTACTCATACTAACTTTTTTCCATGAAATTCACATTTTCAAGCATATATTTTGATGTGATTATGACATTAAAGTGTTACAGATATAAATATCAAACTTATAGGTGTTGTGTGGTATGAATGTAAATTCCTCACACTCTTGTTGTTGATGAAGGTGGTTGTAAGGGGTGGTCGATCACTGGGATCAATAATTCCCGGCCCGGAATTAGGAAGAAACAAATTTCAGTGGTTCTCTAGTGGTTTTAAACTAAAATCAACGGTAGAAGATAGTGATGATAATTCCAATCAAGGTCTCTTCCTGAGTCGCTTACATGAGTGGAGGTTGAACATGAAAACTGGGAGTGTGAGGGAAAGATATATAACTAGAAGTGATTTCTTCTACGAGTTCCATATATGCAATGATCTCTTTGTAGGCTTACACAACCAGTATGCTTATGCACAAGTTGTGAATTCTGTAGCAAGCTCTATCTGTGGTAATTAAAATACAAATTTGGTCCGCATCACATCAAAATCACATTTTGCTGATGATCTTTTTTTTTTTTTTTGCAGGATTGCCAAAGTATGGAGGGCTCGCAAAATTCCACCTTGATGAGAAAGATAGTACTAGAATGGTTTGGTTTAATTATATAAATGTATTTCTTTTAGGTTTACTTTGTGATTTTTGTAACGTCATTAGCTTGTTCTTCTGCTGCAGGAAAATAATGGCGATGGATACATAAAGATAGAGAGACACCAGCTTGGTGCAAATGAGTTTTGCTCTGGAGCAGCATTTGTCTCTAAAAAGGGTGGCGTTCAGGAAGATGATGGTTGGGTAATCTCTTTTGTTCACAGTGAAGATACAAATACATCTCAAGTAAGATATAAACTTTAGGGAAATTTGATACTCACCACACAATTTTTATATATTTAACACCCAATATCTGCTATTTACACACACACCTTGGGTTCATAAACCTATGCTTGAAAATATGTTTCATTTTTTAAATGGTAGTGATGGTGTTATTTTTGATATGATGTTAAAGATTTGAGTGATATGCGTGTAAGGATGAATGTTTGGTATTGGATATGTAAATACATAAGAATTGTGTGTATTTATGTAAATGCCTCTGAACTTTGTGCTCCTTTTTCTAACGCTATCAACTGTTTAGTTCTTACTTGAATTTTGTGATTTGAATGCTAGTAGTGAGTTACATCAACTTAATTTTAGTTGATGGAATATGAAAAACCGTATAATTTAGGAGTCATTTGGTTGGACGCATAGTTAGTGCACTACATTTGTAGCACAAGATTTCTAAAAATTTTAGTATTTAATTTGAAGAATTGAAATGCAGAGTAAAATTTTAGGAAATTTTTAAATCAACCACTAGTTCATTTATCGTATCTCCCAAACTTGTCAGATTAGGCTGAGTTTTGAATGCACTTCAAGTTGTGAGTTTTCCGTTACTCATAGCTGCCTCCTGCCCTGGTGCAAAACCCAATTAACAAAACCAAGAACAAGCAAATCAACAACAAGAAAAAGAGGAACTGGAAGGAATTCTGTAAATCAGAATTATAATTGCATAATCCCTTACCAACTGCCTCTCCAATCCTTTATAGCAGAGACGAGGAGGAGAATTTTTGTGACAAACCAAAAAAGAGGGACCACACCCCTTTCATAACATGTAATTAATAAACTATAAAAATACTGAAGTGGCCCTTATGCAAATATTAAAGCAGTATAATATAGATTTATAGGAAAACGAAATGTATCATTCTGAGAGAAGCATCCGGTTCTAGGAGAGATGCATTAATTCTCTTCCGCCTCCGAAGAACTCGGCTCGAGTTCAGAAATTCTAGCTACCCGTTTGTCAGGTGGATGATACACATAGATTGGACACATCAAATGTAGAAGAAATACTGAGATCTGGGTGCAATTTAAGAACATATGCATTATCATTGATGCGTTTTCTAATAGAAAATGGTTCGTTCTTATGGGGGTTTAACATAGAGTATACTCTTTGTGGAAATCGATCTTTGCGAAGTCACACCATCACTAATTCATCCTTTTGAAATGTCTTCAGCCTCTGGGTTTTGTCAACTTGCTATTTGTAAGATTGCGACAAACTTGTGAATTTATTTGTCTTCCCACGACATAGATTCAAAGTTGTTCACCCATGTTTCAGCACTGCTGCTTTTCGATTTCAAAATGATGGCAACTTCCATGAAGTGATTCGGTTCTTTGGTATAAACAATGATAAAAGGAGAGTGACCCGCGGAACGATTAACCAAAGAATTTAAAGTGAATGCTTGCCCCAAATCTGTTTTTCATTATTTCAGTTGATACCTACAAGACAACGGGTCATATTTCTTAAAGATCGATTGACGACTTTAGTTTGTCGATTTGTTTGGGGATGATATGTTGAGCGTAATCGGAGATCGATATCGAGTCATTTCCACAATTCCCTTCAGAAACAACTTATGAATTTGGTGTATCAATCTGATGTAATGCTTTTTAGAATGCCATGTTGGCGGACGATCTATTTGAGGAAGAGTTTAGTAACATTGGAAGCATCATAAGTTTTTTTGTAGGCCACGAAATGAGCCCTTTTGGAAAAATGATCAACAACCACTACGACGGAATCAAACTGTGTTTCGTGCAAGGTAGGCTCAAAATAAAATCAATGCTAAGATCCTCTCAAATGGTGTCTAAAATAGGTAATGGTAGGTAAAGTTCGATATTCTAACTTGAGTCCTTGTAATGTTGGCACACCGAGTATTTTTCACGAACCGGTACGAGTCTTTCCTCAGTTTGGACCAAAACAATTTAGATTGCACAAGTTGGAGAGTTCGGTCCCTACCCGCATGAACTACCAATCCTTCTTCATGACAATCTTGAATAATTTGTTATCTAAGTGAAGTGTTAGGAACACACAATTGGTTGCCTTTGAAAAGGTAACCTTGTTGAATGGAATAATCTCTTTGAGGAGAGTGCTTTTTACAATTCATCCAAACAACAGAGTAATCTTCATTTTCGTGGTATAAATCTCATAAACTTTTCATTCATGTGTGTCGGCACTATTTTTGGTGTGGGGTTTGCCCGTAGGAAGCTGTCGGTCATCGGAATTGAAATCCCGTTGCCCGCTTCGGAAGGACGTTTAAAAAAAAAATTAGTTTTGAAAAAAGATGAAGTCAAACTGACCCCATAATGAAAGATATTTTATCTCAAATCATGTATCTATCCCGAAGGATGAACGCAAGAATTGAGAGTGAGGCTCGATCAAATAAACTAAAGAAAGTTATGACATCCGTTTGGTTTGCGAAACCAATGTATTGGCCGACAAGTTCCCCTATTTAATATAAGGAATTAAATAGGGTTTATATT